TGCAGCGCGGGCGGGGCCGCCCGCGCGTCCGGCTGCCCTCCGAGGGGCCGGCGGCTTCTCCTCTACAGGACTTCCCGCGGGCTGCTTGCGTGGCAGTCTCCGCCGTGCTCCTCGATTTCGGCCCGCCTCCCGCGGGGGGCGCGGATGTTGTCCTTGCTGCTCCAGTCCCGGAGATACACTTAAGACGAAGCCAGGACAAGGATAACATCGGGTGAGGAGAAACCGAGAATCTCGAAGATCCGGCGGCTCTGGAGGATGTCTCGGGCGCCGCGGCCTTCTCAGAGCGTGCCGGAACGCTCCGGGAGCGCTCTGGGACGCTCTGGAGCGGATGTATCTGAAGGGGCCCTGGGACACACAAATAAATACACACAAATAGAAGGATTCCCCATATTTTCTCATATTTTCTGGGTTTTTGCCTTCCCCCCACTTCCCATATTTTCCCATATTTTCCTGGGAGTGGACGATTAATTGTGTCTGTGTGTTTTCTCCCCTCCTGAGTCTCCTCGTCCCCTGGCCCCGTCCGAGAGGAGGGCGAGCCCCTTCCTGGGTCGAGGAGGTTCGCGGATCACTCTGTGGTTCGTTTCGCCAGTCCCGTTGGCCTCCTTGGGCCCCTATGGACCTCCGAAGGCTTCGCAGTCCTTGGGCATCCTTGTTCTATCGGGAGGACGTAAGACCCGGGTACAGGGGACTCGGAAGTCAAAATATGAGTCGCGGTCGTCAAAAAACGATGGCGAACCCGAGTCCTGGCAAACCCGGGTCTTTCGCTCCCCCGATTCTAGAGCTCGGTCCCTTCTTCTTTCTCCTGCACGGATGTGTTGTAGAGCCTGGAGCCATGTTGCCGAATTCGGAAACCCTGGATCCAAAGATGTTGTCATCTTTTGGGGGGCCGCATCTTTTACTTCCGCCGCCTTCCGCCGGCCCTTCCGCCGCCTCCGGCCGAGGAAGAGATCACAACTGCTTTCATCCTCGAAGGCACGGCCCTTTCTGGAACGCCTCATATATACTGATGCCGCTGCTCATTCTAGAGTAGAGGACGCCTAGATGGGGTCGGAGTGGATGGAATCCGAGGATCCAGCCGCATCGGCCATGCACTGGCGACGTCGACGTCGGGTAAGGCTTCGTAGGAGCAGGGGTGTTTCTCTAAGGAGCCTTCCCCCCTCCCCCTGCCCCCCTTTGCGCGTGGCCGAGGGAGGAGCATGGTGACCAAGGATTTTGAACGTGGTGGGTCTTCTTGGAGCCTCCTCGTCACCACTGACCTTACATCTATAGACAAGGCCCGCGCCTTCTAAGAAGCAGGGGTGTTTCTAAGAAGCCTTCCCCCGTCCCCCTACCCCCCTCTGCGTGTGGCCGATTTTGAACGTTTTGGATCTTCTTGGAGCCTCCTCGTCACCACTGCTGACTGGATCCGCTTCAGAACTCTGGTCAAACACGCACCCAAGGACCTTGCCTCATCTTGAATCTGCCCAGGGCATTCTTTTAGCGTTTTCAGCTCGGCGTCTTGGAAATCATTCTTGTTAGCGATTTCAGGACTCGACAAAAACTTAAAACGATAAAACATGATGCGTTGTTTTAGCGTTTCCAAACCATGTTCCAGTGTTTTCCGATACGTGGATTGCGTGCTTCCCTCTCCTTACGTGTCCCTCTCGTCTTCTTCCTACAAGTTTGCTTTTCTTTGGCCGTCGCCGGTGACTCGTCGCGGAAGCCCGCCCTCCCCTGCTGCCACCCCCCCCCAGGTGTTAGACCGGCGTCAGAGCCTCTTTGTTTTGTTTTGGGGTTTCAGGTCTCCGCGCGGGAACAATCTTTTGCCCCCCTCCCCCCCCGTGCGCGCAGCTCATGGATCAAGGCAGGCGCGTCGATCTGGGAGAGGGAAGGGGGGGCAGAAAGGGCGAACGCTGGCAGGGCGGGGAGCGCGGGAGCCAAAGCCTTCGACGATGTTGCAGAAAAGCGCAACAAAACGCTGTACCACAGCGACGAATCCGAAAACGAGAAAAGCCCTGACAACGCTAAAACAACGCATCGTGTTTAAACATGTCTTCAGCCTGTCAAGCGCCCAAACTCGAAAACGCTAACAAAAAACGCCCAGGGCGTTTTGAAGATGATAAAGCCAAGGACAGCTTTTGGATTCGGACCTACAGCGTCCAGGAGATACCCTAAATGCGCCTCTTGGCATCACTTCGGCATCAAGGAACCGCGGCAGGACCCCAGGCCATAAAGACGCCATCCGCGACGAGACATCGCTCCTGGGAATGGTGGCGAAAATACCAGGACCCCCCCGTCGTGGCACAGATCAAGCGCGACGACGGAGCCCTGGGGAGGAGGTGACGTTAGAAGGCAACTCCTTGGAGTCTTTAAAAGAACGTTTAAATGATATTAAACTAGATTCAGAGGCCAGTGCGCCGGATTGGTCCAGATCCAGCCCGAGAGAAAACTTGGATTAAACCAGATTCGGCGGAATCTAAACAAAGAATGATGGATTAGGCCGGAGTCCGATCACGGATCTACCAGCGCCGATGCTGAATGTAGCACCTCCCTGGAGTGGCATTCCAAGAGAAGGGGACATGGCGCGTGGAGACGCCCAGCTGTCCGTGGCTACCCTGGTGCACCACCGCCGCTGCATTTTCGACTCGCTGGCTAGGCATGCTCGTTTCGCCGACGCCTTACGGTCAGGAACTTTTACTTGGCTTGTCACGTCGGTGGCCCTAGCGACACGATGTGTCTTGCGAGCTGATAGCCTGTCGCTCCGCTTCGCTGGGGAAAACTCGGGACGTTGACGCCTGGAGATGGGGGCGTGGCTAGCGTGTCGCCCCGAAGCGCGGTGGGCCAGAACCACCCAAGCGACACGCTGAGTACCAATTCCTGACCGTAGTGCTGCCCCCGCGGGGTTTGCCGGGTTCGCTTCAGCCCCCACTCAGAGCACCAGCTGTTTCGACAGGTTCACCATCTTGGCCGGTGCTTCCTGCAACTGCTGGCGAGCATCATCAGCGCAGCCTCCTGGCAACAGGCACCGGGTGAGTCGAGTGGCATAGCGAAGTTGTGGATTTCGGACGCGACGGAAGCAGACGGAATGGCGTGCGGCATATTATCAGACCTGCTGCGTTCAAGGAACTCCAAGGCATCTAGCAGCCCTCGTCCCTGGATCCCTGGTGTAGCAGCAGATGTCGCCACGCCATGTGATCTAAACGCACACAAGTCTACGAAGCCGCCACCGCGGCAACCCCCACGGCAAACTCTGCGCAGGAGGCTGCGTTTGCCCTGGCCGCTCGTCGGAACAAACGGCGCGGCGACAGATCTATCCTAGAACGTTGGAGGGTATCACATTCATGAGTTATTGCTACTGTAACTATCCTTCCCCCACTCCTGCGCCTCCACCTCCCGCGCAGCCGTGAATGTATTTCTCGGTCTTCCCCCTCCTTATCCTGCTGCTGCTCCCCCCCTTCCTCCTCCTACTCCCTCCCTCCCTCCCTCCCTCCCTCATTATTACACCCCGCGAGTCCTTGTGTCCTCCCACATTGCTCCACCTCCTCCTCCTCCTCCTCCTCCTCCTCCTCCTCTTCGGCCTCCTTGTCCTCCTCCTCCTCCTCCTCCTCCTCCTCCTCCTCCTCTGCCTCGTCCTCCTTCTCTCCCTCCTCATCCCCCTACTCCTCCCTCCTCGTCTTTCTCCTCCTCCCTCCTTGTCCTCCTCCTCCCCCGTCCTCCCTCCTCTCCCTCTTCCTCCTCCTCTTTCTCGTCCGCCCCCCCGTCCTTGTCCTCCTCCTCCCCCGTCCTCCCTCCTCTCCATCTTCCTCCTCCTCCTCCTGCTCCTCCTCCTCCTCCTCCACCTCCTTCCTCTGCTCCTCCTCCTCCTCCTCCTTCGCCACATCCTCACAAAGAATCCCTCTGCTCTCCCCCACCTTCTCATCAGCCGTCCTCCTCCTCCTCCTCTTCCCCCTCGTCCTTCAGCCCCTCGTGAACTCCCCTCGCCTCGTTCCACTATTATCCTCCTTCCCTCTCCCTCCTCCCCCCATGCCTCCCTCGCGCGTGGTCAGCCTCTCCCTCCCTCGCTCGCTTCTCCTTCATCCCTTTCGTCCTCCTCCTTCTCCTCCTCCTCCCCTTTCTCCTCTGCCTCCCCTTCCTCCTCCTCCTCCTCCTCCTCCTCCGCCTCCTCCGCCCCTGCTCCATATGCGTACCTGCTCCACGTCACGCCCCGAGGCGTGTCGGCAGGGCGGGCCGGGCGTTTCGCCTGAGGCTTCCTCACCCGTTTGACTACCTACCAAACCACCCCAACCCAACCCGAAGACCCGAATTTCGGGTTGGGGGGGGTACGAGCTTCATGTGTGTTTTCTCAACGTTCCCCGACCCCCCCCCCAACTGGACATGGAGGGCAAATTGGGGCCTTCGGGTCGGGTTGGGGTGGTTTGGTGGGCGGTGACCGTTATGATCCTGAAGCTCAGAACTTGCAACACCTTCACGGATGGGCGGGTGGTTTTCAAAATGCTGCTCAGCGCCGCACACGTTCGTTTCAGACGTTCGCAAGGGCTTCACGGATGGAAGGCGGGCCATTTTCAAATTGCGATGTTCGCCGGAGTGCCGCGCACATTCATCTTAACATATTGCAAGGGCTTCACTGGTGGACGGCTGCTCCATTTCAACACGTGGTTCTCGCCTTCGCGCCGCGCGCATGTGTTTTAAAAGTCCACAAGAGCTTTTTCAACATGTGGCTTTCGTTCGACGCCGCGTACGTCTTTATCCGTTTTACACACGGCCCAACGATGTTGGTGATTGGAGTTCTGAAAACAATTTTCTGGCACGATTTAGGGTTCCCAGGGCGCAACAATCATGCTGTTTCGCTGTATGGCAGCCCCAGAGAAGGAGTTCTGGCACGAGTCAGGGTCGCCAAGACACAGCAGGAAAGTTGAGCCGCGGCGTTGAAATCCGAAGAATGGTGTGTTGGCAAGGTTGGGGATTTTCAAGCGGTTGTCTTCAAACGGGGCAATTCCCGCAATGAAAACAAAAAAAGGGATCCGTGAATGGAGAACTTGGAGGGAGACTTAATCGTAACAGTGTTGGTGCGTCTTCGGTTTGCACGTGTCCTCCTCCTCCTCCTCCACCTCTTCATCAACACTCCCCCTTCCACTCATCCTGCCCACCGCCTCCCCTCATTACATGTATATAGTCATTCCTGTCCCCTCTTTCCATCACTCCCTCCTTCCCTCCTCCTCCTCCTGTTCCTCCATCTCCTTCTACTCATCATCCTGCTCCGTCTCCTCTTGTAAGATACAGAAGGTTGCTGGAAGCTGCGGCACTGGAAAGAAGCAAGGCCCCCCATCATCACCCCTAGCAACAAAACTGATCCTCCACCAATTTCTACTCTCCCGACGCCTTCTCCTACACATCCACCTCCCGTCATACTCCCTTGCCTCCTGCCTCGCCATGGCTCCTTGCCCCCCCACCCTGCGCAAGGAACGCTCTCGGCTGTCATCGCGCGAGACTGTTACACACGTCGTGGAGACAAGAAGCTGGCAAATCACGCGGAAACATAGAAAGTCTGCGTCCATGCACCGGATACGAATAAACAACAAAAAACACCCCAAAACGATCCGACCAGAGATAACAAAGATTGTGGACTTTGATCTTCCCATCTGCTAAGATGCATCGCTAGGGAACATGCAATCACACACTGCCTTTCCAAACCGGCATCAAGCGCCCGGCCTGGAGGGAAGGAAGGATGACGCACAGAACGGGAGTCTGCTCGCGAGCCAGCTTGGAATTTGCAAGGGTGGAACTAGCCCATCGGAATCGATGCTCGTCACTCGCACAACATAACAATATGACCAGTTACACACGCAGTGGCAAAGCACCAACGCTAAGAAGAAACCAGTGCTGACAGAGTTCCACAATGATTGGCCAGAGCTTACCCAATACGCAGACAAGGACAAACCATCACGGCGCCAATCTGAGGTCCCCAACGCCCGCAATGTCCCAGTCCATGCGAGTGGCCCGAACGCAACCCCGTGAGGCTGGGGAGCATGAGGAAAAATATGTGGCTTTGAAGGGTCAGATGTGGTGACTGAGCAAAACTGAAATCAGAACGCTAGGGAATGCATCGGGTGCAGGACGCAACTCCGAGCGATGACCCTCGCCTAGGAGCTGAAGCCGTTGCCCAGAGAGCAGAGTCCATGTGAATGGTTCGGACATCAGTCAGTAGCTAAGAAGGCAACCGCAGAGTCGACGGTAAATCGCTATCCCAGGCATTGGCGAGACCAAGCTCCAGAATGAGAGAGTGAAGTAAAAACAAATGTCCATGTACAAGTGGTTCCCCACAGTCCACGTGCAGCCATCTAGGGGAAATCGGGCGGCATCCGACTATCAGGCACAAAGGGCGGGCCATCCTGTTCGACCCCCGCCGGCAGACTGCTTCGCAAATGGGAAACCGACCCACTCGCAGGCGCGCCCGCTGCGACTGCATCCAGGCCGGGCGGGGGGGGGGAAGCAGGTCGACCCAGAGCGTCGCCGCCGCTTCAGGGAAAGCGGCGGCAGCAGCCCAAGCCGCCGCAGCCACAGCCAACGCTGCCGGGTTGCACGTCACTGCGACTATCCTTCACCGCCATCGTCATCAGCAGCCAACGCCGCCGGGTCGCATTGCCCTCGTCCACGTCCGAGCCAGGCGTCACTGCGCCGCGGCAGCAGCCGAGGTCGCCGCACCCGCAGCCATCGGCGGGACGGCGCCGGCGGCAGCAGCAGAGACCGCCGCGGCCGCGGCACCAGCAGCCCAGCGCGGGCCCAGCCGAACGGTGCGGGCGGCGGGCCGCCGCGGCGCAATAGGCGCCGGCGGCAGCAGCGGCGGCCCGAAGGGCCTGAGGCAACCGCGTCGGCGCGGGCAGCAGCAGCGGGAGGCAGGGGGCCCCGTTCCAACTCCAGACGGGCGGCCTGGCAGCGGTCGAAGGCCCAGCCTGGGCCTCCAGGCTGCGCAAGCCACCTCGGAGCCAGAGGGGCCTGAGCCAATGGGTTGAGCCAGAGGGCGGTTGCGGACACACGCACCCAAACACACACACACACACACGAAAACACACACACACACACACACACGAAAACACACAACACACATTGACACACATGTTCGCATACAAACGTACGTTTACACACATTTTCACACCTTTACGCACGCACACACATTCACCAACATATTCACACACATTCACAGACACATTTACACACACGCATTCTCTCTCACATACTCATTCACACACAACTATTCACACAGTCGCACACATTCACACACATTCGCACACATTCACATACATGCACACGCACGTTCACAGACAGGCATTCACAAACGCATTCACGCACACCCATGCACAGTCAAACACACACATTCACACATGCATTCGCACACATTTACGCACACGTCTCTCTCACAAGCACACACATTCAAGCACATTCGAACACATTCACACAGATCCACACACTTTGACACAGATTCACAAACATGCATTCACACGCGCAGTCACTCACAATCACACACGCGCGTACACATTTTCACACACAAGCGCACACGCACGAGCGATGACACACACACACACATTCCATCAACACACACATGCACACATTCACATTTACAATTTCACACACAATCACACGCAAACCGACACACGATCACACATTCACACACACACACTCACATGCTCGTTCAACTACACACACACGCACACACACTCACACACACGAACACCCACACACAGACACGCACACGATCACGCACACATTCACACACACACACACGTCCACATCCACACACAACACGCCACACGAACGCACACACACAGACAGACAGACAGGCAGACAGACAGACAGACAGACAGATAGACAGACAGACAGACAGACAGACAGATAGACAGACACACACACACACACAAACACACGCACGCACAAGCACACACCTCCTTCGCAACTCTGTGCCAACGGCTGGTTGGAGACAGACGGCACGCGGCGCCACGACAAAGTTCAACCGCGCGTCAGGGGTGAGCCAAGGCGAGCAATGCAGAGTGGACAAGCAGCATGCACACAAACACACACACACAAATCAGGCGAACGGGCGACACTGACCTGTGCAAGCGAGATTTCTCCTACGTCCATTCACACTCCCCGCGTCTCCTTGCTTCGCGCTCTGTCTCCAGCAGCGCCAAGATGTCGCCCTCGCGGACCTCGCAACCCGCCAGAGAGTAACGAGGACGGCGGAGGAGGAGGAGGAGGAGGAGGAATGATGGGAGGAAGGGAGGACAAGGGGGGAGAAGCAAAAGGAGGAAAAGGTGGAGGATGAGGAGGAGGTCAAGAAAAAGGAGACACATGAGGAGGGCGGCGAGGAGAAGGGTGAGGAGGAGGAGGAGGAGGAGGAGGAGAAGGAAGAGGAGCAGGGTAGTGGGGGGGGGATGGATCGATGAACATGGAGGAGCGCGCTCACCACGAAAAGGAACGGCCAACCAAGAGCAAGGGGGGAGGAGGGATGAACCGTCAGGCACCAACTCGACCAACAATACCAAGATAAGGAAGAAACTCATAAGAGGAATAAGAAAAACAGTTAAGGCGATGCCGCCCAACAGAACAGACATCGTCTCATGTACACCAGGAGAAGCGCATGGGTCACAGATTCCGCAGCGGTAGCGCACAAAGAACTGCTTTGCCGCTGCCATCGCTACCAGAAGCGATGGCAAGGTCAGACGCACGGGGGTGGGGGCCTGGAGAACGTTCGATCGCACGACTCCGCGCTGAAAATGCCTGCGTGCGCAGGGTAAGGGCCCACCAGTTGTTTTTAACCAGGAGAAGAAAAAACGCGAGGGGAATACGACGGGAAGCCAGACTAGCCCGGACAAGCACGGCGGAGGAGGACCAGGCGCAGGGCGAGCAGAGTGAGGTCTAGGGGCAGGAGGGGCTGGAGAAGGCAGGTCGCAGGAGAGGGCGAGGATATAATCTCCTGGAGTAGAAGAAAGAAGAAGAAACGCCATAAACATCAACTGTTTGCACTCCGCGCGGACGTCTTGGATCTGCGCCGGAGCCCCCTCCCCTGCGCGTGGAGCGCAGAAGGAGGAACGATAATGGAGGAGGAGGAGGAGGAGGAGGAGGAGGATACGAAGGGAATAAGGAAAACGCGGAGAGAAAGGAGAAGGAGGAAGATGAACATGAGCGACGCCCAAAGGTCTAGAGAGAAGGAGGGAGAGAGGGAGGATGATGAGGAAAATGAGGAGGAAGCGGAGGAGGAGGAGGAGGCGAAGGAGCAGGAGAAGGGAGGAGAAACTTGAGGAGGAGGAGGAAGCAGGAGGGACGATAATAGAGGAGGAGGAGGCGGAGGAGGAGGATGAGGAGGATGAGGATGGTCAATGAGCAATGCGCGGGGAGCTCTAACGCATTGCTCAAGCCTCACACCATAAAAATGGCGAAGGTCTCTGCGCAGCCCGATTTAGCGGGAGCAGACTAACCTCAAAGAAATGAGGCGGCCCCTGCTGGCTGGACCGGCGCCGCCCCCGAGCGACGGCGAACCCCCGAGCGTCTCGCAGGCGTGCGCAGAGGGAACCGCCCAGGGAACCGACCTGCGGCCGGTGCCGCGGCCTTCGCTGCCGCACGTGTCCCCCTGTGGGGGGCGCGCACGGGAGCAGCAAACGAGGGGGGGCAGAGGGAATCGGGGAAGACGTGGGTCATCACATGCACCAGAACTGGGTGGCGCCGGAGGCGTGAGGCAGACGGCGGGAAGGCAAGGGAGGGGAGAAGGAACGCTGAGGGAGGCGAGGGCGGGGGAGGGTAGGAGAAGGGCGGAAGGCGGAGGAAGGGATTGGAAGGGCGGGGCAGGAGGTCGACGACGACCATGGAAGCCTCGACACGATGCCACGGTGGATACTTCCTCGGGCCACGGGGACAAACCAGCCGCTCACTGCCTCCTCGGAAAGCTCCCGTGCTCGGAGGGAGACGCTCCCGCACCCTGTTTCTAGACCGATTCGTGTCTCGACCTGGGGAGAGGAGGAGGAGGAGGAGGAGGAGGAGGAGGAGGAGGAGGAGGAGGAGGAGGAGGAGGAGGAGGAGGAGGACGAGGAGGAGGAGGAGGAGGAGGAAAAGGAGGGGGAGGAGGAGCTCTTGGAGCGAGGCTGCTCCGTCTGTGCCTGGGCTGGCATCTGACACAGCTCCTCAGCTCTCCCCGATCGGGTCCGGCAGAGGCGCCGCCTCGTGCTCACGGGGGCCCTCGGGGGCTGTGGCAGACACGGCTGACTGGCCCCGGCGACTGCCCCGCTGGCCAGGAACTGGCGGCGGAGCGTGCGCTCCGTCGAGCCCGCCTCGTCGCAACGGAAGGCGAGCGCGACGCGGACGATCGGTCCTCTCTGGCCCTGGCTGCGGTCGGCGCCGCTCCGCTCCAGCTCCTTCGGCCTGCTCTGCTTTCATCTGTGGTGGCGAACGTGCCGCGCGTGCTTGGCCACGTCCTTTGGCGTGGCTGTTTTGGGTCTCTCCGCGGCTGCCCTGCAAGAGCCCGTCGGCCTCCCGCACGAGACGGGGGCTCACCACGGCCCACATCTGGACGCGCGGCCCCCCCGTCTTCGCGTTCAGGATTCGATCCGTCCTCTTTTCAGCTCGCGCTCCTGGCGTTCCGCGGAGACGGCGTTGTCCTTGATGCCCGCGCCGATCACGATTTGCGCGAGGTTGGCGGTTAACTCCTCGGTATCCCACGTCTGGAACACCGTCCCCCCGAGGTTGGCCAGCTCGCATGCGACGCAAATGCACAGTTTGGCGATGACCTTCATTAGCGCCCCCCGTTAAGTCCCTTTGCTCGTACTTATTCCCGCCGCCCTTGTTCGTGTTGTGTCTTGGCGAGCGGCGCCGACGGAGGAGGAAGAAGAGGAGGAGAAGGAAGAGAGGGAGTAATGGGAGGCATGTACACCAGTCGGCTAAGCACGGTGCGCGAGAGCGAGCGACAAGGATTCTATAGCCGAGATTTCGACGGCCCAGGAGCGCCCGGAGGAGGAAGGAGTGAGCCAGAGGAGGAGGAGGAGGAGGAGGAGGAGGAGGAGGAGGAGGAAGAGGAGGGGGAGGTTGGGAGAGGAGGTCACGTCAGGTCATCCGCGTAAAAGGAATCTACGTCAACACCACCACCAAAAGAGCTGCGGGCGCGAGGAGCAACATTCCCCGCGATTGAATCGCGCCGCGCGCTCCTTACTTTTCCAGGGGCAGACAGGGGGCATACCTCGAAGCTTAAGGGGGCGAGTTCCGAGGTGGCCCCGTGAGAGAAGCTCGATGATTAAGACGAGTCCCTCGGGTCAGCGCGAGGGGAACAGCTGCTGGTATGATCGCGCGCCCTCTCTGGGGGACGCTGTCGCGAACAGGGTTCCCAAGTAGGGGGTTCCCTGAGCCCTTCTAGAATTTGTGAGCCAGAACGCCCGCGCTCCGAAAAGCCCGCCCCCCCCCTCCACCAACACAGGAGCTCCAGCACTCCAGGATGTCCTCGCTCGTGTTCTCTGCTCTCACTACGCCGAGAAAGATGCTTCCCACGCCACACGCGCTCAGGTTTCGCTTCCCGTGCCAAGCGCGATCAGACATATTCGACCTCTTCTCTCTCCGTCCTCTGCAACGTCACACTTATACGCTAGAAAGTCTGGGGAAACATGCGGCGCATCCAGAAAATGGACCGAGGACGAGAGACAGGGAGACAGCGCAGGGGAGAGAGGGGGGGAGAGAATGCAGGAGGCCCCAGCAAACCAACCACGTGCTGACGTGCCTGAATAAGATTCGACATACATCCTGCTGCGCCCACGCTTCGAACAGACTTCCCCCCCCTCCCCCCCGCCTCCTCTGGCTGCGCCGAAACACGTGCGTCCCGCGCCAAACGCGCTCAGAGATGCGCAACCTGGAACCTCTGTTCTGTTTTCCCTCTGCAAGGTCACACTCATTTCCTGAGAAAATCTGGGGATAGATGCGGCACGTGCAGAGAATTGGCACACAATCCCCGTTCAAGGTGATTATCTGTCTACGAACGTCTATGCGTCGCCCACTGGATAACACATCAAAAGGATACCTTCTCTGAAATGGCGTTTCCAATCCTATGAAGAGCGCAGTACATGCCTCTGGAAGCCCGTTGTTGCTGAATTTCCACCGCGGAAACACATGTACCAAAGTTGTTAGTCAATGCGTCGTAGACCATGTTACTTATTTCTTCAGCTGCTTCGGCTTGGTCGAAAATGGCATTCTGGAGCTGGATCATCTCTGTCGGGCTCAATATGATATTGCCTCCTCCGTACTTTGTGAAGACATCCGGTGCTTCTCATTCTGCCAGTGAAACCTCCACTTCCTGCTGTATGGGACCAGCGGGGAACTTGTGGAATTTCTTTCGCCCTAACCCAGGAACCTGCACTGTTCAGAAGCACCTGGGGAACCTCCTGCAGTGTTCCGATTTGCCGGCAGGGAGAACATGGCTTTCGAGGTTCATCACTGGCGGAGGCCAGTGGCCTCCGAACCTCCGGGCCTCAATCTTCCCTCTGGCTCTTGTTCCGTTGGCGGAATTGACATGATATTTCCAGTGCCATCCTTTTCCTAACACATTGTTCTCTGCTTCTCTGTCTCCTCCTTTGCTTCTAGGTCGCACTCCAATCTTCCATCGGAATTTGGGCAGATGCGGCACATGATATTCCCACCACCTGCAGAGCAAGGGTCTATGGATTTTTGAAGTTCTTCATCTGTCACAACCGACGGCCTCCGAACCTCAGGGCCTCCATATTCCCTCGAACCGTTGTCGTCTATCTTCGTTCTTCGCCGAACAAATGAATGCAAAGCAGGCCCTGTTGGACTCCATGGGAGCAATTGGTCCTCAATCTCCTGCTGCATCTGTTCCTAAACTTTTGATTCGTGTATTGGTTTCGGGGTTGTTCAGAGGCGACCTCCGGTTGCCTTCGAAACTCGGGGCCTTCATCTTCCTTCTGGCAACCGCTGTCAAACGACGGCTCTTGGTCAACCAAATGTTCGCAAGTGGCAATCCTGGCAACCTGGCATTTGCTAGCGTGGGTACGGCGACCCCGTTCTCTTCGTCTTTGGCTCGTCGTTTTGAGCAAGGTCACACCCCAATCCTCCGTAGACTTCTGGAAAGTTGCGGCACAAGACAATTACATCACCAGATTACGACCATGTCACGCGGGAGGAAGTCGCAAAAGGTACAGTATCGGAATGGTTGCAAGGATTGTTTTGTTTATTATCCGTCGTCCCTTCTCCACCCTACTCCCTCCCCCCGTCATGGGGTAATGTTTGGGGCGGAAGTCGTGTGAGTGGATTTCAATGAAAGTCCTCACTCCGTCGGAGCTCAAAGTGCCTGGGCCTCCAACGCCGACTTGGCAGAGGAGGAGGAGGAGGGGGAGGAGGAGGAGGAGCAGCAGGAGGAGGAGGAGGAGGTTGGGAGAGGAGGACTATGAGAGACGAGCGCTGGGGTAGGATCTATACAGATCCACCGCTTGTGAAAGCGATACGCCAGTACCCTAGGAGGCCATTGCGTTGAATATGTCAGGCCCCCAATAAGGCCCGAGAGTATCAATACCTACTGCCCCCACTGGTCCTGGGAAATTGGGTCCCGAGGCATGAACCAAAGCCTCGGAAGGAAAGAGAAGGAGCACGATGAGGATGAGGATGAGGAGAGAAGAGGGATGCCGAGGAGGATCAGGAGCAAGAGGAGGACATAATAGAAGGAGGAGGAGGACCGGGCCCTTCACGTTGCGGATGAGCGAACGACCGGCGAGCTCTGGTGTAGTCTCGGTCATGAACATCACCCGGACCTCGCGAGACCGCTGGGAGGAAGGACGACGACAAGGACGAGGATGAGGAGAAGGAGGACGAGCTGGAGTCTAGTGGAAGACAAGGACGGGGGCAAGGAGGACGACGAGGTGGAGGAGGTGGCGGCGGATGCTACCAGGACTGAGGGCTGATGACGGAGAGACTGAAACTGAGGCAGGAGGGAGGGCAGATGAAGAGGCGAGAAGTACGGCGAGGTGGAGGAGGCGCGGAGGAGAGCGATTGAAGAGGAGGCAGGGGGAGGACAGATGAAGGAGGCATGAGGAGAGAGAAAGAGACAGAGAGAGAGACAGAAACAGAGGGGGATGGGGAGGAAACGCAGCAGGAGGAACCGAGAAGGAGGGAGAGAAGGAGGGAGAGAAGTGTAATGGTAGGGGCGAGGAGGGATAAGGACAAGAATGGGGGCCTGTCCGTTTCAAGATGTGGCTCTCGCTCCAAACTTCCTCATACTCCACGGCCCAGAATCCCAACGTGTGCAACGGTCACACGGGTGGAGGGAGAACCTTCCCCAAACTGGGAATCTCGCTTCAAACCTTTAAAAAACATCGACATGGTCCAACGCTTACACGTATGGCTGGCAGATCAGCTTCAAAACGGAACGATCGCTGAACATGACCTTGAATTCTACTACTATGCCACCTTGCGGTGCTTGTTGCTCGAAAGTTGGAGCGTGGGTCCTTTGCAAAACGGGGCTTCGGCACTGCACAACGGGGTTTCGGCACAGTGGCAGGAGGGGACGTCACCCAGCGTTCGTCATTCAAGGGGGGGCGCGTCTGCCCAGAGTGGGAAAGAGGACTCTTCTAGAGACTTGTGGGGAAGGAGCTTGGGACGGGAGGGTGCCTTGCAACATTGACGATGCATCCTGGGTTCCCCTGGTCTCTCCTCCTCCTCCTAATCCCTCCTCCTCCATACTTACCCTCCTAGATACTCCTCCCGAGTGACACCACCAGACGTGCCCAAAGGCCAGACTCGGCATTTCGCCTGAGACTTCCCCGCCAATTGCAATCCTGAAGCTTATAGTTTGCAACAACTTCAAGGATGCACCCCAGGTCGTTTTCAAAATGTGTTTCTCGGTCTAGCGCCGCACACATTCGTCTTCAAAACTTGCAACAACTTCAAAGATGGAGGCTGGTGCCTGTTTCAACATGTGCTCTCGCCACAGCGCGGCGCACAGCTATCCGACCCAACCATCACCATCATGCAAGACAGACATATACATACATACATACATACATACATACGTACGCACGTACATACATACATACATACATACATACATACATACATACATACATACATACATGTATGTAAAAAGAGCCGGTGCACAACCATGTGGCCCAACCATCACAATCCTACTCAAACAAAGTGACTCGGTGTACACCCCTACGGCCCAACGTTCATCTGCTTGTGTTAAGCACAAGTATGTCCGAGGAGCATCCACCCGACCCCATCCTCGTCATCGCACGCAGAAGTACAACTCGGTGCATGTCCGAAAAGAGTCCTTGGGAACAAACGACAACAAAAGTCAATACATCGATTGCAGATGCATAACCCATACATGCATTTCGGGCACCCCTCACCGACTCCGATGTTGGACCAAATCGCTCGCCAGCCTGCCCAGAGCGCTACCAGACGCTCCTAGACACTAGAATCCCTCCCCAGGTGCTCCCAGGCTCGCCGTCGCCACCAGCAGCAACAACATCCAGATCCTCATCTTCTTCTTCCTCGTCGCCGCAGGGGGCCCAAGGAGCGTTGACGCGTGGGCCACAAACGGTGTTTACAATGAGGCCCTCACTTTGCATGCGCCGCACACAATCGTTTCACACAACCACTAAACAGACAGAGGGCGGGTCGTTTTCAAAAAGGGACTCTCGCCCCTGGCGTCGTGCATACATACTCTGCTTCCCAAGTACCATTGGATGGCGAGTCCTTTCCAGGTTAACACGGTGATGGCATTGGGCGAGGATCCCTTAGATGAGGAATCCAGGGTCTTGGATCTGGCAGCCGGTGGAACCCCAGTCGTGGATCGGCCATGGATATCAGCGCCACCCTCATCAGAGAAGGAATCCCCCCAGGGCCTGCAGCCTCCTGGGCACACTCCTTAACGAACTCCCCAAACGTATCAAAGTCTCGCCTTGGCCTCGCGCACATTCGCATACAACTTCCACCAACTACACTCACTTGACAATTTCTCGACCTCTACGACCCGGCATTCCGTGTTGTGCAGCAACTAACACGGATGAAGGGCGGCTCCTCTTTCGAAACGCGGCTCTCGCATGGGATTTCCGCGAAACAGACGTCCACGTGTTTGACATCATGCAAAGCTTAGCCGAAAGGAGGGCATGTGCTTCTCAAAGGGGGCTACCCTGGGCGTCCTTCAACTGGAGGAAAGATCCTTTACAACAAGCGCCATCGTCTGACTGGCGGACCGACAGGCCGCTGGTCATTCAAGAGGAGGGGGCGCCCGCAGTGGAAAGGAAGGAAGATTCGTATGGACTTATAGGGAGGGGACTTGAGACAGGAGGGTATATTGCAGCATCGGTTGGTAAATCTGGGGTTTACTCTGGTCCTCTTCCCTCCTCCTCCTCCTCCTCCTCCTCCTCCTCCTCCTCCTGCCCCCTCCCTCCGACTTTTCGAGAGCCAGGCGTTTTGGAGATTGAATCGTGCCGCCATCCCCCCAGGCGTGTTTGCCCACGCCAGTATCGGTTGCCCCGATCGCCTGCCCGCTGGAGCAGCACCGGCCTGGCCGCCGACGAACAAGGTTTTCCCAGGCCAGGGGTGGATACGGGCCCGCACACTCGCTTCCAGCGCCAGCGGTGGCAGGTGCCAACTTTTTACCTGCAGATGCTGCGTGACATCGACAGTCGGAGCCCCAGAGTCGTTCTGTTCTGTTCTGTTCCTCCCTCACTCCTCGAGGCCTCCCATTTGGGGTCCCCGAGCAAATCGGGTCAGAGGATCGCGCCGCATCGGCGACGCATCGCCGATGTATCGCCGACGTCGGCGACGCATCGGCGCCGTCGGCGTGCAGAAAATCGGGGTCCACATCGAGCCGCATCCCCGATGCAGCGGCCATGCGGCGCGACCCACCGACCTCTCTGCTCCGACCCCGTCTGGGAGGCTTAAGAGTTCCATCTCTCCCTCCTTCTCCCCGCCGAGGAAGAGGAGGAGGAGGAGGAGGAGGAGGAGGAGGAGGAGGAGGAGGAGAGGGAGGAGGAGGAGGAGGAGGAGGAGGAGGAGGAGGAGGAGGAGGAGGAGGAGGAGGAGGAGGAGGAGGAGGAGGAGGAGGAGGAGGAGGAGGAGGAGGAGGAGGAGGAGGAGGAGGGAGGAGGAGAGGAGGAGGAGGAGGAGATGAAGGAAGGAGGGAGGAGGAACGATCCCCCATAAGACCCCCTCCGCCCAGGAAGAGGAGGGGCGGAGCTGGGCAGCGGAGAGGAGGGCCTGGATCACGCCGCCGCGGGAGCCGGTGCGGCCCAGTATCTTCTCCACCTTCGCGAGCTTCGGAGCGTTGGAGTCCATCCTCGGAGGGCGACGTCTCCGGGAGCGCGCCCAGGGGGATCGCTGCTCGGGGGGCGTCCACGGACCCCCGTCGAAGGATCGTGGAGGATGAGGATCGAGGAATCGAGGAAAATCGAGGAAGAGGAAGGACTGAGGATCGAGGAGGATCGAGGAATCGAGGATGAAGGACTGAAGATCGGAAGATCGAGGACTTGTGATGTGACCTTTTCAATCCAGGCGTTTTCCTTCGGGTTCGGCTTCTGGGGCCTGGTATCAAAATTGGACCTGCCAAAGCCTGCCCACATGGAAGCGGTCGGGATGTTCGGGGCCGCGGATTGAAAAGCCATGCCCGCCGCTGCGAGGGGATCCGTCAACGTCCGCTGGAGCTGCGTGCTCCACGACTTCGACTGCCCCCAGCTCGTGCTGGACCTGCCACGCTCCTCTCAAGGCCGTCCGCGGCGACAGCGCAGCCGAGAACCAGCCGAAACGACAGTGAGACCGAAGCTGGCTGGAAGCAGCAGGGCGCAGCGACGCAGCAGCGACACAGCAACAGGCCGAACCGAGCCGAGCGAGCACAACCGACGGCGACACAGCCGAGCCGACCGAAGCGAGGGCACCCTTGTTTATCCAGGTCCATCTCTTAGCGGCACCCTGAGGGGCATTCGGCAGGCCCAAACTCGGACACGCGCAGGAAAGTACCGCTCCAACGCCGCTTTCCTGCAATTGTCCTGCGCGCTGCCAGAGGTAACCGTTACTGGGTACCCATCTGGGTGGCGCTGAATCTGGGCATGCCTGGATTTGCTTCGATTGGCAGTGGCTTACAGTGGAGGCCCGTCCACAAGAAACCTTCCGCAAGAACCTCAACCCTGAGACCCCAGGACGTCTATGTGTTCTTGGTGTGGGAACGGCGCGCTCTCCATGGCAACACCATCGAAATCAAAGAACCCAGGGCACCCTGGAGGCCGACAGGGTGCTTCTTGGCATCGTATTGCATCGGGTGCACCGAGGTGCATCCATGGATCTGGCCAAGTCCCCGCAGGCCCGTTGGAGAGAAGAGTCGTCGGGCCCTATTGGGGGAGGCGACCTTCCCAGTCCTCCAGCAGCAGCCGCGAAGCACAAAGCACGGCGAGCGACTTTTCCTCTTCTTTGGGGGCCCGCTTGGGGCCGGTGTGAAAAAAAACGTGCGACAACAAACAATGGTGATGAAACACAAGTGTGAGACAACAACAAGTGTGGTAACAAACTTTGTAAACAACAAACAAGCGTTATAAACCAAACCTATATTTTTGTAAGCGTTGTAGACAAACAGCGTTATACACGTGTGATGAAGCACACGCGTGTGTGTGATTTGTTTTGCCATGCTTGGTTTTCAATCACACTTGTTCTGTTGTTTTAAAACGCCTGATTCTTCTCACACTGGTTTGTTCTCACACATATTTATCACATTTGGCCATGAAGCATCGGCCCGCGACGAGGATCAGGTCCCAGAGAGGGGGGCCGAGGGCCCTGGGGCCCACGTGAAGACAACCGTGCTGGAGGCCTGGCCCCCGGCCCCGCCACGAGCAGCGAGCCCGCCGCGCCTTGAGCCGAGATGCCTGCCATGACGCTGAGGTGTCGATGCGGATGCCTGATGCCATGGTCGATCTGCCGACCTTGGGGTAACCATCGGCGGTTCAAAGGTGGGGTCCTCAGGGATTGGGCCCTAAGGATACGAAGGGATCCAAGGCCAAATTTACATTGAGTGAGGCACCTCGTCCTTAGGGCCCCATCCCTCAGAACCCCATCTTTGAACCACCGACAACAGGCGTGTGAGAGAGTACACACACCCCAGCCTGGGACCTCCATGGCTCATCCATGGTTGGTCCAGGCTCATCCATGGTGGGGGGCTGCTTTCCTTGAAGTCAGGCCCAAGAGGGCTTCAAGAGGCTAACAGGACTCCGAGGCCTTCAAGACAAAGCAGGAGGGCACTCGAGGCTGCAAGAAGCACATCAGTGGCCCAAGGGAACACCCCAAGAGGGCCCACGAGAGGCCACATATTGCAACACCTTAGCCCCACCATGTGCGGATAGGAAATGGGGGTTGGTCGGGATTGTACGCCGCGATTTGGAAGGCGCCTGTACAACAACAAGAAAGGCAGGCGCATTTGTGGTATGTCTGCGTTCCTGCGCGATGCAGGCCAGCGTCGCCGTTGGCCCACACGGCGACCGTTCCCAGGCACGGGGCCGCCCCCCCCCCACACACATTTTCACGCCCGTGGGCGCGCCGACGGAGGAGGAGGAGGAGGAGGAGGAGGAGGAGGAGGAGGGAGGAGGAGGAGAGGAGGAGGAGGAGGAGGAGGAGGAGGAGGAGAAGAAGAAGGGGGCTCAAGAAGTGGGGAGGGGGAGGGCGGCGTGGGCGGCGCATCATAGCCCTATGAATTTTTGTGCGAGCTGGGGGGGGGGGGAAGGGGACGTGGGGACGTGATGAAAGAGGAAGCAAAAAGGCCATGACATCCACGCACTCCCAACCTCCTCCTTCTCCTCCTCCTCCTCCTCCTTCTCCTCCTCCTCCTCCTCCTCCTCACATCCGCTGGTCTGATTTTTTCCAGCCGCCGCCCCCATCCCGCCTGAGGCTACTCTTCCGCTGCGGAGCGAATTCGTATGGCCCCAGGGCCCCAGAACGGCCCCCACAAGGCCCAAGTCTATGTAAACCTGCCGGCTGCACGGCGCAATTCGCAGATCCGATGCCTTCATGTTTGTTGTAATGCAGGGCCCCTGGAAGCCCCAACCCCCTCCCCGAGACCAGCTTCTCGTCTTGAGCCGTTTCTCCAAGGTCCCAAGGGCCGGCGAGGGCCTCTTGAGGCCGGAAACGGGGGACAGCGTCCGTAGTGGTCGTTTTCCATGCCCAGGATCGCCACCCCCGAGCCCTTGGACTCGTCGGCCCTCGGTCCCGCCCTCTCGGGTGCCCCGGGGAGCAAAATCTGAAGTGTCGCCCTGCCGTCGGTCGAGCCCCCTGGCCTCTCTATGACGGGCCCCGTCAGGCCGCGAAGAGCATGCTTCCACACATGCTGAGATGCGGTTCGTGTTGCTACTGGAACGCCTCTGGACCTTCCGTCTTCCTCATCCCGATTCCTGATCCCCAGAGGCTGCAGAATCTCACAAGACGAAGCCAGCCCAACCCTGAGGGAGGGCGGAGGCGGAGGAGGAGGAGGAGGAGGAGGAAGCGGAGGGAGGAGGAGGAGGAGGAGGAGGAGGAGGAGAGAAGGAGGAGGAGAAGGGAGGGGAGGGAGGAGGAGGAGGAGGAGGAGGAGGAGGAGGAGGAGGAGCTGTGCGGCGCAGGCCACGTGGTGAGAGCTGTGTCGCATGAGCTGTGCGCTTTTTGAGCTTCCGAGGCGGTGCAAGCTGTGAGATGCGGGCTGCGCCGCGCAAGCCAGGCGGCGTGGACGGGAGGCGGAAGCTGTGGGGTGTTAAAAGTCTATGTGGTGAGATAAGTGGTGAAACACATGTGGGCGGCAACGTGACGCAACCTCGGCACAAACCTCCAGCGCGCGGGGTGCCCACGAGTCGGCACGGGCGGCACCGTGCCGCAATCTCGGCACGCAGCCCGAGCGCGGGGCGCCCACGAGGCGGCAGTGGCGGCGCCCGCCCGGAATACCGAACCACTGACTCAGCAGTGCGAAGCGAAGACCTCGAGGTGCCAGCACTGGCTGAGGGCAACATCTGTGTGAATGTACTCCGCCTCCTCTTTCGAGCTCTAGAAGCTAGAGGAAAAAGAAGTATGCACATGCACCGATTCTGGCCAGGCCCATCCTGAGCCCAGGATCGGTGCATACGCCCTCCTACCTTGGCCAGGAAGGCATATGCACCGATCCTGGGTCAAGGATGGGACTTGCCAGAATCGGTGCATGTGCATAGTTCTCTTCGCCCGAGAAGCTGCCCTCGATGGGCCTCGGGGACCATTGATTCAACTGCTCAGGATGAGAAGCTGGCCCTGGGGAAACCGGTCGGGACTTCCGGGAACCGCGCCTTGAACCGTTCAAGACATCGGAGGTCTGGGGAACGGCCGACGCCACACTGCTTGAGAGCGCGGCTGGGGCCAGAGTGGCTACGGAGGAGGAGGAAGGGGTGCAGAATGTGGACGAGGACGGGCATTCCGAGGACGATGAGCTGACTGGGTGCACCGAGACGGACCAGCGCGAGCATCACAGCCACTGGCGCGATCCTGCGAATTTCAGCCTTAACCCCAAAGGGTCTTTGAGACCCCCCTGGGCAATAATGGGAAAATGAATCATTTTTCCGCTGGCTTATTGACGGAAATAAGTTATTCTCGTCGGCGGATGCATGAGAGGTCATGAGAGGAGAAGGAGGAGGAGGAGGAAGAGGAGGAAGAGGAGGAGGAGGAGGAGGAGGAGGAGGGGGAGGGGGAGGAGGAGGAGGAGGACGGAGGAGAAGGAGGAGGGAGGGGAAGGATGAGGAGGAGGGACGAGTTTCTATTCCCCGCCGAGAGCTTGGGGGGGGCATCATTAAAGACCCTCTGCGGTTACTGTCTCTGCTGATGACACACTGTACCGCGACCTCCGTCCGATGACTCCCGTGCGCGGCGAGTCCGAACTCCGACCGGCTTGCGCCCCCCTGGAGAAATCCGTCTTTCCTGGCCCCATACTGTATCACTGGTGCTATATGTTGGTGCGCCCGTGGCGAGCGAGGAGGAGGAAGAGGGGGGGATGAAGAGGAGGCCTCTCGATGGCTTACTGGGGCACTCCGGGGGCAAAGCGGCCAAACTGGATTGTAAACAAGATGCCTCTTTGGGAGGTTTCTTGGGGTCTCTTTGGAGGCCTCTCGGGGTCCTCTTGGCTGTATTTGTGTGACCTCCTTGGGCCCCTTGGGGACCTCCTGGGGCCTTTTGGGGGCCTCGTGGACCTGGGAGCCTCTTGAGCGGACTTGGGACGATCTTGGGGGCCTCTTGGACCGTCTTGGGCGGAAGGAGGCCCCCAAAGGCGGTGACGCCAACATCCTTCCAAAAACCGAAGCAACATCAGTGACTGTAGCCTCGGGGGCTCTCTTGGGCTCTTTTTGGAGCCTTCTGGCGCCGTCTTGGGCGCATCTGGGACCGTCTTGGAATCATATTTGGCAAACTTGGCGCGCTCTTAGGGGCTCCTGGGGGCGTTCCTGGGGCGCTCTGAGAGCACTGATGGACGCGCCCAGGAGGTCCGGCATCCGTGACCCAGATCCGCCTGGAACTTTTCCTGGATACATTTCGTCTGGCGAACTCTCGGGGCCGCCACGCGCGCGCGCGAAATATAAATCTGTCAACCCTATTGGAGTGTACGAGACGCTGTCATCGTCGTCGTCGCTGTCCCCTTCCTTTCCCTGGGCCCTCCTCCTCCTCCAGCGCGACGGCTCCCCCTTTCCCTGGACCTTCCTCCTCGACGCGCGCCAGCCAAAGGGGAATGGAGGAACGTCGCGCTTGCTTCGAGGGGAATCCCTTTCCCTTTAAGCTCTTGGCCGCCAGGATGGGGGGGGTCCCGGGGGGAGGTGGAGCGGGACTGCCAGGGCAGCATGCGCTCCCTCCCCATTCCCTTCTCGACTTCTTTTCGGCCCCCTGTGGCGCTGTTTCGGCAAGTTGCTTCCAAGACGGTCCAGAAGGGCCCTCGCGCTGTCCAGAGATGCCCTCGAAAAACCACTTCGAACCCCAAGGCGCCCCAAGAGGGCTCCAAGAGGATCCCTGAGAGGGCCCCGAGAGACCGAAAACATTTTCCTTGCGTGGAGTTCTCGCCTTTTCGGACTTCCTCCGCTCCAGAACGGCCCAGGAAATTCCCAAGATCGCCGCAAGACGACCGCACAGGCCCACAAAAGGGCCCACAAGCGCTCCAACGTGGCCCCCCAAACCCCCAAAACGGCCCAAAAGGCTCCCAAGAGGGGGGACATCAACCGACATGTCGCGCCTTCAGCTCCGAGATGCCCCCAGGAGACACCAAGAGGCGACCAAGAAGCCTCCAAGAGGCCCAGGAGAGCCCCAATAGCACCCCCAATATTGCCTCAATAGACCAAAGCGTCGTCGTCGTCGTCGTCGTCGTCGACGTCGTCGTCATCATCCCCCTTCAGGGTCGGCGGCACCAGCCGCAAGGCCTTCGCAATATCCTGGACATCCCACACGAGATGTTAGCACGCCTCTGGCCCGTTTGGCCTGCGAATTTTATGTCGAAGCAGTCCGCTCGATGCATCGCTTCAGTTGCCAATGGTAGGAAAAGATGACCAATTCCCTCTCTATGCTCTCTCTCTTGCTGTCATGTGTGTTGTCTCTCGCTCTCTCTCTCTCTCTCTCTGTCTCTCGCTCTCTCTCTCTCTCTCTATTTCTCTCTCTCTCTCTCTCTCTGTTTCTTTCATTTATATATACAAATAGTTCAACACATTTCCCTCTGATAGTTTGTGTTATCTCTCTGTCTCATTTTATCATATTCTCGATGTGTATGTCTCTAGTTCGCTCCCTCTCTGTCTCACTTGGACCTGTACATATGTAGATCTATGCTTGCACAAACACACTCGTAAAACACTTGTATACATTTCAATATGCGCATGTAGTGGTATGGTTTGCTCTGTATGTATTTGCGTGCACATGAACATGACATATAGCATGTCTTTATATCCCAGTGTTCCCCATCTTTTGCTGTGTTCTATCCCTCTCTTTCTCGCCCACAATATCTCTCACCCTCCTTCTGTTTGTCTCTGGTCTTCTCTCCCTCTCACTCTCTCCTTTTTTCCCTCGCTCTCTCTATATCTCTCTCTCCCTGTCTTCCTTCATGCATCAATGTGTTTCTCCTCTTTATATGTGTTGCGCACGCTTTCTCTCTCTATCCGTTTGTCTCTCTCTACCTCTCTCTATATATCACCCTTCATCAATATATGTGTCCCTCTCTTTTTCTCCCTCTCCTTGGAAGTTTGCTATATTTTTTGTTTTTCTCTCCCCCTCTCTCTCACACACTCTCGCGCGTCGGCAGCGCGCGCATGTCGAATTCCTTCCAAAACCCTCGTCGCCGACGCGAAGACGCCGTCATCGTCGTCGGCGTGATTCGTGTCGGCGCGCGCCGCGACTGGCATTGCCATCGTCGTCGCCACCATCGCCACCAGCATCGCTACTGCCATCATCGCGTCTACCGTTGCCGACGCTGCCATGGTACCGAAGCCCACCCGAGTCGCCGACTCGCACTGAAGTGCCCGGTGGGAGGTGCCCAGTGGCCAGGACCGCCTCGGCCGCGTCGGTCGCACCAAAGTAGCCGGCCGCTTCGCGCGCAAGCATCCGCGGGCTACCGCGGCCGCAGAGATGCACCAGCCAACGCCAAGCAGTCACCGCAATCCTATCCGCATGGGTTCTGCAAGCCATGAGGCAGGTGGGCGGGAGGGATGATTGCGCGAGGAGTGGAGCTGACAAGCTCATGTTCGGCAGGGCGAATTGAATTTCACCACGTATATGGTGCCACATAGCTTTCACCACATAGAGCGCACCGCATACATTGTCCCCCGTGGAAATGAACTCAAATCCACCACGCCTCCACGGGCGGAAGTAACCGCCCGCCTTTCAGCATTGCAATTTACATGCGATTCTGCCCCACCGTCCATCCTATCAATATGAACTCGTACCACCCCAACCAATCCCGCATGAACGCCCACCGCCATCCTCTGCAACAAGACAATGCGCGCGCACCCGTTTATCACAAATCTTCATGCTCCAAGAGACTGGCGACAAAAGTGGGGCGAAATCCAAGTACGCGCGTCGTCGCGCAGGCATCACATATTTTCTGCGATTTGAAAACATGTGGCTTCTTCCAGATGTCAATGCCGAATGCCCAAGACACGCACTACAAATCATTGGATTGCAACGTCAGCTTCCGAGATAGAATTAGCTCGCGGTCGTGCGAATTCTTCAGGGAACCATAAGGTTTTCAACCTGCTCACAACATTCGATCAAAAAGGCCTTTCGCGCGCGCGCGTCGAAATCACTCGAAGGCCCCTGCGCGAGCGTTGGGGTGGGGGGGGGCGCGGTCCGTGTCAAATGAAACCATTTTCTACAAACAAACCCTCAGACCGATTCGCTCCAGTTCGCTGCTAAGCGCGGTTGCGCGGCGAGTACATCAAAGGCCACGCGCTGGCACGAGAAGATGCGGCATGCTTAGCTTCCTTGCTTAGAAGTCTCTGGGATGCCTTCACAGACCGTCAGTCAACCACTCGCTGCGGAAAGTGATTGAAAACACGAGCCATGCAGAAAATTGATCGATGGAGAATCGCATGATGGCCTGGCTCACTGGAGTCTCTCAAAACTCTGCTGTGGAAGCGCCGGTTTGCGGCGAAACCGTGCCGCTCGAGAGTCCCAGAAGCCAAGGGGAACAAGGAGGAGAGAACAGGAGGAGCACTGCCGCAAGAAATCTTAAACAGAAGGCCAATAATAGAAATGTCACGTCTCATTTTCAGGGGAGCCAAATTGAATTCGCAGAACGCTTCCTCGCCCGTCAGAGACACATGGTCAAGGAATTCAGTCTGAATGTCGTCAATCATCTTCAGGACCGCGTCTGTGGCGTGGAAGATCGCGCTGGTAGCCCCTCCGATGAAAGAAAGCACGTGGCCCTTGTAAAGGCGGACCATGTCCTTGGTGGAGTAGAAGCGGCCCGTCCAGAGCAGCGCTTTCAATCTGCAGGATGCCTGTGTGGACATCTTCTGGGCGGCGTAAAACATGGAAAGTTTAGGATCGAACTCGACACCCAAAATCTTGAAATTGCCCCCGTGCGGCCAGACCTTGTCCAAGATGTGTGTGCTCTCTTTCTCTCGCTCGAGAAGCACTTAGTTGGCAGCCCCCCACGTGTGAAACGAAGTTTGGCATGTGTGGCACGCTTGAAGAATATCTGCGTCGCGTGACGTACCGTTGAACACCTTCCAACAATTCAAATCGTCTGCGAAAACACATTTCTCGAAACCGGTGGTCGTGATAGACAATCTGGCATCTGCGTGAAAGACATTCCAAAAGGGAGGGCCCAGAACAGTGCCTTGGAACACCATGTCCTCTAAAACAAAAGGGTCCGAGAACACGCCGTCGACGCATACTTTCGCCGTGCGGGGCTCCAACCGCGCAGCAATGACACCGACGAGCTTGTCGGAAATTCCAGTGGCCTGAAGTTTGGTAAGAAGCCTTGCAGAGCACACCCTGTGAAAAGGGCCTTTCGCGCGCGCGTCGAAATCACTCGAAGGCCCCTGCGCGAGCGTTGGGGTGGGGGGGGTCACGGTCCCTGTCAAATTAAACCATGCGGGCCACTCGCACGGGTCGGCCGCGCGCGCATGTCGAAATCCCGTCAAAAATTGCACCACCTACGCGAAGGCACCATCATCGTCGCCGGCGTGGTCGGCATCGGCGCCGTCCTTGGCGCTGCCGTCGTCATCGCCACCGTCGTCACCATCATCGGTGATAGCATCATCGTGTCTACCATTGTCGACGTCGCCATGAACCTGCGCCTGCCCAAGTCACCGACTCGCGCGTCAACGCGGCGCGGCCTACGAGACAGGCTGGAAAGCGCCTGGCGGTCAGTGCCACCGCGGTCGCGTCGGCCGTGCCCAACTAGTTTGCTGCCGCGCGGGCTAGCGTTGCCGCGCCGACACACCAGCCAGCGAAGCAGCAATCGCAACCGCCGCCGCACGGGCATTGCATACTAAATTGCGGGCGGGTGGGTGGGATGATTGCGCGAGCATGGAGGTGGTCACGCGTGAGGAAGACATGATCAATTTCAGTACATGAGTTCTCCTCTCAAAAATAATGAAGACTTCTCCCCCAAGCCCATGGGATTATCGACCCTTTTCTGGGGATGCGCAACTTACACATGATGTTGCCGTGTCGCGCATTCGAAATCAAACTTCCCGAGCCAAAGCAGCATAGACCCCAGCTCACCCTCGCCACATAATACTGTGCGCGCACACGTTTATCATCATTCGTTGCTCAAACAATATTACATTCCGCCGTGCCTCACGGGCGCCTCCGAAACTGGCGACAGTTGCCCGTTCGCAGCCACCCAAGAAGCTGCGAGGTCCTGGGTGCTCCCTTACACCGCCGCGCCTCACAGATGCCCAACAAAACTGGCGACGGTTGTGCAATTCGCAGCCACCCGAAAAGATGCGAGATCTCGGGTGTTCCCTTTCTGCCACCGTGCCTCCCAGGAGCCCACGAATGTGGCGACAATTGCCAAGTTCGCAGACATCCAGGAAGCCGCGAGGTGTCGGTTGGATGCGCGTACTCCCCTCCTCCGCCGTGGTTCCCATGAGCCCAGGAAAGTGGCAGCAGTTGCGCTGCCCGAAGCCACCTAGGGAGCAGCAAAGGAGGAGGCAGGATTAGGAGGTGGAGAAAATGAAGTGGGGGATAAACCGTACTTTGTTGTAAACGAGAGCGATGCACAGGAGGGTAAGGGCATGCATCATGCGCAAGCTGGGCAACGCCAGACGCAACAACTCGCCGGCCACGCGCAGACAGAACAATCAAGCCTTGGCGTGGGCAGCGCCGCTCCGCCAGGCTGGCTTGGACTCGGCTCTTGGCGCGCTGAAGGTGCACGGGCTTGCTGTGCCCCGCGGCGACATCAACATGTAACCCAGAGCCTCGAGCTGCAGCTCGTGGCTGCGCAGCCCGCCTCGGTTTAGCTGCGCCCGTGCAGAAGGGGCAGGCCAAGCGTTGCGACCGCGCGGGGGGGGGGGGGAGGGGAGAACGGGCACACCTGTGACACGATGGACAGGCGTCAATGCACCATCGTGGCCATCCATCATCGCCGATTCACCCGAGATCTTCACATCGGTTCCGATGGCCCCTGGCCGCTCGCGGCTACGGGCGGACGATGCGTCTTGGTCGTGATACCTCGTAGTACTTCTCTCGGTTTGTGTGTCTGTCTCTCCCTCTCTCTCTCTCTCTCTCTCTCCCCCCCCCCCTCTTTTATATATCGCGCTCACTCTTTCGCTCTACAAAGATATCTCCCTCTTTGTGTCTGCAGGCATGCATGTATGTATGTCTCTCTCTCTCTGTCTCTCTCTATCTCCCGCTCTCTCTCTCTCTCTCTATCTCTTCCCCGCACACACTGTCTCTCCTCTGTATGCCTGACTACCTGAGCATGCTAGTAAGCGCGGACCCAACAATGATTTCTTGCAGTCTACGCGGTGCAACCTCGGTGATGCAATCAATTTGGTGAAGTCTAGGTGGTGCAACCCACGTGACGCAGTTTCTGTGGTGCAGCGCATAGCCGAGCAACAACATGCAAACGAATGCACATCAACGCAATGTGATGCAACATTACGAAAAGCATCCCGACACGATACAACACAATGCAACGCAATGTAAACCAGTGTCATTTGATGCGAAGCAACGCAATGCAACGAAATACAAATCCAGGCAACGCCACGCATAACAATGTCAATCCCTGTGAAGCAACGCAGAGCAATACACCGCAACCGATGCAACGCAATGCAAAGCAATGCGACACAATGAACAGCAATGCGACGCAATGAGACGCAGCGAAAAGCAGTGCAAATCTATGCAGACCTAGGTAGCGCTGCGCAAAACAAAATTAACGCAATGCAGCACAAGGCGGTGTGAGCTCTGTGGTGTAGAGTGGAGGCCAGTCCACAAGAAACCTTCCACAAGAAACCCGACCCTGAGACCCCAGGACGTCCATCGATTTGCTGGTGTGGGAACGCCCCCCCGTGACACAACAGAGCCATCGAAACCGAGGAACCCCGGGGCACCCTGGAGGCAGGCAGGGCGCCTCTTGGCATGGGCCCCCACTGCAAATTCTGCGGTGCGGCGACGGCCGGGAACGGGGCCGCCGGACCCACCGACGCGCACTCTGATCGGGGAAATCACGGGGCGGCGGACGGACGGGAACGAGGCCGCCGGGCCCGCAGACGGGCCCAGGTCCTCGGGAGACACTTGCGAGTGCCTGGGTGCAAGCACTGTGGGAAGTTGGTGTGTCTGTGCGTCGGTGCTTCTGTGTGTTTTTTCTCTCTCTCTCTCTCTCTCTTATTTTGTCTCTCTCTCTCTCTCTTTCTATCTCTCTCTCTATCTCTCCTTCTCTCTCTCTCTCTCTCTCTCTTAATGTAAACACTTGGTACACCTCCGGTTCTCCAAGAATTGAGATGCTGCGTGATCATATCGCTGTACCCACTCTCTGCACGTGATTCTACAACTGCCGTGTGGTATCCAGATCCCTTGCACTACATTACTACCCCTGCTCTTTGTTGCAGCCTCCAATGGAAAGGGAACGATGGAAATGGGGGTGGGGTGGGGGGGGCAGAGCAGAGAGTTGAACAGAGAAGGAGAAGGGAGGATCAATGGCGTTGGGGGGAGAGGGGCAGGGAACGAACGCGGGGATAAGCAGCAGGGGGACGGGGGAGGAGGATGGGAGAAGGAGAGAGCTAGGGAGCGAGGGAGAGGGAGAGAGAGAGAGAGAGAGAGAAACAGCGGAAAAGAGCGAGAGTGACAGAGAGAACGAGACAACGATGACTTTGGATGGGCGCGGGGGACGAGGGCGGCCACGGCGGCAGGCGGGGACGGCGCCGCTGCCGACGCGGCGGTGGCGGCCACAGGCGGCGGCAGCGACGGCGCCGGCCGACGAGGCGACTGGCGGGCGCTCCCTCGGCGCGCGCGGGCCTGGCCTGCCGCCCCCGCCACGCCCACGGCGACCGAGGAGCGCGGGCGGCCGGCGCGGGGATCGGCGATGCGGAGGCGTGCCTGGGCCGCGGCGGCGCCGGCGGCGGTGGGCGGCGGCGCCGAGGGCCAGGAGGAGGGCGGGGCGCGAGGCGGGCCTGTGCACAGAGGGCGGCCTCAGGGGGCCGCTCGCGGGCCCCGGGACCCCCGAGCCTCGATGCGGACGGAGGAGGAGGAGGAGGAGGAGGAGGAGGAGGAGGAGGAGGAGGAGGAGGAGGAGGAGGAGGACCGGTTCGCATGGATCGGGTCGGGCGAAAGGGGGGGGGATAGCCAAGGGGGGGGGTTGAGAATCAGCTCGCGCAGCTGATTTTCCCGGCGCCTCCCAGCGCCGGAGGCGGCTGTGGTATCGAGGGCTGGGCCCCTCGGCGAGGCCGAAACCAGCTGCATGCGGCAAATTTTGTACCCCCCCTTTCCCAATCACCCCCTCTCGTCCAGCCCGAATGGACCCCGGGAGGGGTCCGAGGGCCGATTTTGACGGATCTTCGGCGGCACGCCCAGGGGGGGAAGCGGGAGGGAGGATGCCTTCTCGGAAGGTGGCGGGACTGCCCAGGAGGCCCTCGCGCCCTCCAGGATCGGCGACTCCGAAGGGTGTGGTTTGCAAAGGGTGTGGTTTGCAACCGGCACCCTGAGGGGCACCCTGGGAGGCGGGCGAGGACCTCGACAGAGCTCTCCGCCGCGCCCCGAGGAGGCCCGACGAGGACAGTGTCGTGCCCCCCAGGCCCCGACGGTGCCGATCGCAAACCACACCCCGGCGTAACCACACCCTTTGTAGTCGCCGACAGGAGGCTTTTCCTCTGCGCCTCTTGGGGGGGGTGCTTCGAAGACTTCGCCCCGAAGGCCGGGGGACGCCCCGAAGGCTTCCGAGGAGGCCCGCCCCTGCTCGCATTGCGTCGTCCCGAAGCACGGGTCGCGGAGCACCGGCAGGCCTCCCAGAAGGCCGTCCAAGAGCTGCTCGAGGGAGCTCTGGGAGCTCCTGGGTAGGGAGCCCAAAAGTATACACCACCACCACCTCCCTCCCCCCCTCCCTCTCGCTGGAAAGAGGAGAGAGGAGGAATCGACGTGGTGGTGGTGTATATTCTTTGGGCCCCCACTGGGAGGAGCTTTCCCAGGGAGTTCCTGGGGAGTTTCGGGGCAGACGTGCTGGGAGACGCTTCGGACAAAGGCCTGCCCGGACACGCTGCGATTTCAGGCAGGCCGCGCTGGATCTGTTTTAACAGAAACCGGAACGAGCTCCGGGGCCACCCTGCGGCGCCGGCTTCCAATCCTCTAACCCTGCAGCTCTCCAAGGAGCTGTCCAGGAGCTTCCATCCCGGGCTCGCCGCCGAGTCGGGGGATGGCAGTGCGGGCACTGCGGAGGAGACGTCGAAAACTCCCAGACCCCGACGTTATGATTCTTTCATAACGTCGACCCCGAAGGTCTCGACCCATTCCCCAGGACCGGTATTTCGTCCTGAGTCCTTCTTTGACGGCCCCGAGGCCCGGTGAAGCCCCCAGAGACCGAAAATTATGGAACACCTCCCGTCGTGGTTTTTTCCAACCATCCTGTGGTGTTGGGTCCTCGTTTTGAAGAGACGGTCCCCCCGTTCTCCTCCTTCCTCCTTCCTCCTCCTCCTCCTCCTCCTCCTCCTCCTCCCCCTCCTTGCCTTTGCTCTCCGCATGTCTCTGCTTCGGTACACCCATCACACGTTTCGTGGCCCCATAGGGAGCTCCACCGAAGGCCCCAGTGGCAGCGTTCGCATGCAGTTCCACCCTCATCTCGGCGTACCCCTCACAGGGTTCGTGGCCCCATAGGGAGCTCCACCGCCGAAGGCCCCAGTGGCAGCATTCGCATGCAGTTCCAACCTCATTTCGGCGCACCCCTCACGGGGTTCGTGACCCCATAGGGAGCTCCACCGAAGGACCTAGTGGCAGCGTTCGCATGCAGTTCCACCCTCATTTCGGCGCAACCCTCACAGGGTTCGTGGCCCCATAGGGAGCTCCACCGAAGGACCTAGTGGCAGCGTTCGCATGCAGTTCCACCCTCATTTCGGCGCAACCCTCACAGGGTTCGTGGCCCCATTGGGAGCTCCACCGAAGGCCCCAGTGGCAGCGTTCGCATGCAGTTCCACCCTCATTTCGGCGCACCCCTCACAGGGGTCGTGGCCCCATAGGGAGCTCCACTGAAGGCCCCAGTGGCAGCGTTCGCATGCAGTTCCACCCTCATTTCGGCGCACCCCTCACGGGGTTCGTGACCCCATAGGGAGCTCCACCGAAGGACCTAGTGGCAGCGTTCGCATGCAGTTCCACCCTCATTTCGGCGCAACTCTCACAGGGTTCGTGGCCCCATTGGGAGCTCCACCGAAGGCCCCAGTGGCAGCGTTCGCATGCAGTTCCACCCTCATTTCGGCGCACCCCTCACTGGGGTCGTGGCCCCATAGGGAGCTCCACCGAAGGCCCCAGTGGCAGCGTTCGCATGCAGTTCCACCCTCATTTCGGCGCAACCCTCACAGGGTTCGTGGCCCCATTGGGAGCTCCACCGAAGGACCTAGTGGCAGCGTTCGCATGCAGTTCCACCCTCATTTCGGCCCCTCACAGGGTTCGTGGCCCCATAGGGAGCTCCACCGAAGGCCTTCGCATGCAGTTCCACCTCATTTCGGCGCAGGGTTCGTGGCCCCATAGCTCCACCGAAGGAGTGGCAGCGTTCGCATGCAGTTCTCATTTCGGCGCACCCCTCACAGGGTCGTGGCCCCATAGGGAGCTCCACCGAAGGCCCCAGTGGCAGCGTTCGCATGCAGTTCCACCCTCATTTCGGCGCACCCCTCACGGGGTTCGTGGGGCGGAGCGTCCCCATCGAAGGCAGCCCACAGTGGCGCAGGGTTCGTGGCCCCATTGGGAGCTCCACCGAAGGACCTAGTGGCAGCGTTCGCCTGCAGTTCCACCCTCATTTCGGCGCAACCCTCACAGGGGTCGTGGCCCCATAGGGAGCTCCACCGAAGGCCCCAGTGGCAGCGTTCGCATGCAGTTCCACCCTCATTTCGGCGCACCCCTCACAGGGGTTCGTGGCCCCCATTGGGAGCTCCACCGAAGGCCCCAGTGGCAGCGTTCGCATGCAGTTCCACCCTCATTTCGGCGCACCCTCACAGGGTTCGTGGCCCCATTGGGAGCTCCACCGAAGGCCCCAGTGGCAGCGTTCGCATGCAGTTCCACCCTCATTTCGGCGCACCCCTCACAGGGTTCGTGGCCCCATAGGGAGCTCCACCGAAGGCCCCAGTGGCAGCGTTCGCATGCAGTTCCACCCTCATTTCGGCGCACCCCTCACGGGGTTCGTGACCCCATAGGGAGCTCCACCGAAGGTCTCAGTGGCAGCGTTCGCATGCAGTTCCACCATCATTTCGTCGCAACCCTCACAGGGTTCGTGGCCCCATAGGGAGCTCCACCGAAGGCCCCAGTGGCAGCGTTCGCATGCAGTTCCAACCTCATTTCGGCGCACCCCTCACAGGGCTCGTGGCCCCATAGGGAGCTCCACCCAAGGCCCCAATGGCAGCGTTCGCCTGCAGTTCAACCCTCATTTCGGCGCAACCCTCACAGGGTTCGTGGCCCCATAGGGAGCTCCACCCAAGGCCCCAATGGCAGCGTTCGCCTGCAGTTCAACCCTCATTTCGGCGCACCCCTCACAGGGTTCGTGGACCCATTGGGAGCTCCACCGAAGGCCCCAGTGGCAGCGTTCGCATGCAGTTCCACCCTCATTTCGGCGCACCCCTCACAGGGTTTGTGGCCCCACAGGGAGCTCCACCGAAGACGGTACTCACAAGTGCGGCACTCACAACTGCGTATGATTGGGTCCTTCGCCAGGCTAATTTAAAGGGAAATTAGGACACACAATAAATACACACAAATAAAAGTAGTCCCCATATTTTCCCATATTTTCTGGGTTTTTGTCTTCCCCCCCAATTCCCATATTTTCCCATATTTTCTGGGGAATCGAGGATTAATTGTGCCCGTGTTTTTTTCCCCTCCTGATAATTTCATGACGCGAGAGTGTGCGGGGAGAAGACGTCCAAGGCTCCTTGAGCACAGTGGAGCTTGAGACGGCCCGCGGGCCGACAGCGAGAGCCCCCTGCCACCACTACCCATCGGTCGGAAAAAGTAGATAGAAACATGAAGCGGGAAGGCGTTGAAAGTAGATCGGGTGTCCGCCCGCCCCCAGAGGAGGAAGGAAGAGGGGAAGTCACTCGATCATTGGAGTAGGAAGGCGCTTCAAGTAGATTGGGATCTGGGCTGCTGTCAACGGCCGAGGGGTACCCGAGGAGCCCCATCGCGGCAAAGCACGGCCCAGCATTGGAGGGCCGCTCGCCGCAGGAGCTCCCAGCAGGCCCCAGCAACCCCCTCCAGGTTGGTGCAGCCACGGCCAGCAACACTTCAAGACTGCAGCGGGGGAAGGAAGGGGGGGACCCAGACCCCCTGGAGCAATGACAAGATCATGACGGGAGGTTGTCTCGCTATTTTCGGCATGTGGGGGCCCTCGCTGGGCCTCGGGACCGTCAAAACACGACTCAGGATGAGAATCCAGTCCCGGGGAATGGGTCGAGCCCTGTAGGGGTAGACGTTGTGACACAATCGTGTCGGGGGTCTGGGGACGGAGGAGGGATGGGAGGAGAGGGGGGAAGGATGAGGAAGACGGGAGAGGGAGACACCAGGGGCAGCGGCAGCGGAAGGAAGAGCCAGAAGAGAACGACTAGGAACACGTAGAGGAAGAGGAATCTGCAACCCTCTTCATCCTCCGCCATCAAGATGGGAATGAAAGTGGGGGCGACGATGAGGACGGAGAGGACGGAACGGGGAGGAAGAGAAGGAGGAGGAGGTGGAGGAGGAGGAAGAGGAGGAGGAGCAGGCGGAGGAGGAGGAGGAGGAGGAGGAGGAGGAGGACTGAGGTGGACCAGGCGCAGTGGCGGGATGGGCCGAGGGCCACTGAGCTGCCAACAAAAAAGCTTCAATTAGGTTCGACTGAGTGGCGAGCCGTTGGCTCCTTACCTCGCCCGGGGGGT